TGGATGTATTGGGTGTCTCAGTTGACTCCGCAATCATGCGTTCTGTTCGCTCCTGGAACAGGGACCACTTGGCTTTGCCAAACAGCCAGTGTCTCCTAGCAAATCTAGGTCTTATAAGTGAAAGACAGATTGTAATGAGGGTAGGTTTGTGGTCACTGCCAATCTCATCTAGTACTTCACACTGGGTCTTCGCCTGGAGCTCAGCAGAGACCAGTGTTATGTCGGGACGTGACAGGGCGCTATTGCCCGTGTGAAGCAGTGTGGGTTCACTGTCGCCATTCTGCAGTGTGATGAGATTGGTTGTGAGCTCAACCTCCTCTAGGTAGCGCCCAGAGGCGTTAGTATCGGGATAGCCCATATCCCACATATGGGCGTTAAAATCCCCAGCTATAATTCTATTACTAAAGATGGTTGTGCCCTGCAGTGGCAGGCACAGAGTGTTTCTCGGAGTATGGTAAATGTTGTTGACGGTAAAAGATTTACCACCTAAGACTACCCTCAGGTTCAGGGTATCTGTCCCACCAATGTTTTTGCTCTCTACAAGTTCCGCTGTGAGTTGGTTTTTCACGAGAGTTACCAAACCTCGGCACCTTACGCAGGTGCAGCGGTAGACCGAGAAGCCCGTGATGTGCAATGGGTGTTTCTTCAGTAGAGTCTCTTGCAGTAGAGCCACGTCCACATCCCGCTTGTGGAGTAATTTGGTGAGTTCAGTTATTTTCCCTCTGACCCCGTTGCAGTTAAGCTGCATAACTACTAGGTTTTTGGGGAGGTGACCAGCTGCACCTTGCCTATTGCCCCCATTAGCACAAAAGCCTACAGTCGGCCTGAGCCCCGTCACCGATCTGCAGGGGAGGAGGGGATTCGAGTGCCCCTCAGGTTGAGTCATGTGTAATTTACTAGCCATATTGAAGAATAATAACTAGGCTTTTTTCTCTTACCTTCTCCCGGGTGAAAGTTACAAGTAACTTCCCCCCTTCACCTTGGGAGATAGACGGTGATATACATTTTCGTCTTGAATCGCCATTCTCAAATAAAGCTATTTCTTTGTTTATCAATGTTTCAAAGTGTCAATCCGTTTGTCTGGAAGTGTCTTTTGTATTTCAATTTCAAAATGTCTCTTAAGCGGCAGTGTGTCTTTAAGTTCAACATGCTCAGATCCAAGCTATTTAATTTCATTGTTCGTAGATATTTACGCTGTCTGAGCAAGCTTTTAAATACCTCATCCTGTACCATCACCTCTGCCTCCCCTACACCTATCTCTTGTATCTTAAACACCGTTTGTGAACTCTATGAAACCGATTGTAAATGGATAACCTTTAAAACAAAAATCCTTTATATATGTGCTGGTGATTGTTGTAAAGGGATATGCCTGGCACAAGAAAAGAAATACTTTATGGAATATGTGACAGTTAAGGTAAATATATTGTTTGTTATATTGAAATAATACAAAAAGATAATTAATTGAAGTTATTCTATGTAATGCACAAGGTAATATCGGTGAATATAAAAGGCATCGAAATGAGTGCATACTTTCAGTACAGTTGTATAGTAGAGACAATTTGAAGCTTGTTTGAAATGGAGTCATGTATAAAACGTGTGGCCCGGTCGGTTGAAAGGTCAATCTGGTTTAGAAAGAAAACTGTCCGTTAGACCAGAAATATTTGACAATTTCACTCAGTGAGCTATGTGGCCGAATGGTTTAAACGTCAGACAACAGACTCGTGTGTTTATGTTGATGTGTGCTTGTGTGTTCAGCCCTCTCTCTTCTCTCAAAATACATCTATACCTGTAATTTTCTTGTACCTCCTCCTGTAACACTACCTATAACTGAACTTGCTCTTGCTAGAAATAAAACTACTCTATATCTCTTTCTAGATACAAATATAACCTATGTATTCATCTATCTCAGCAATACCTCTACCCCCTATACCTCATCTATCACTTCTACCTCATCTATCACTTCTACCTCATCTATCACTTCTATCTATCTACCTACCTCATCTATCACTTCTACCTACACTTCTATCACTTCTATCTATCTATCCAACTATCTACCTACACTTCTATCACTTCTACCTCATCTATCACTTCTACCTCATCTATCTACCTACCTCATCTATCACTTCTACCTACACTTCTATCACTTCTATCTATCTATCCAACCTATCTATCTAGAGAGAGAGAGAGAGAGAGAGAGAGAGAGAGAGAGAGAGAGAGAGAGAGAGAGAGAGAGAGAGAGAGAGAGAGAGAGAGAGAGAGAGAGAGAGAGAGAGAGAGAGGG